TGGCTCAGGAGGGGAAGGTGTGTGCTGTTTAATCTCCAGGAGAAGCTCGTCACGCTGGCTTCCTGATATGTACTCGGCCGTTCTCATCATTAGAGGCGCTCAGGACCTCATTGTCACTGAGGATGGCTGTGCTACTTTTCAGGGCAGCCCTGGTCATTGAGTGTCACTTCTTGGCTCCAGCATAGGACCTTCCACCTAATGACACAGATCTTTGGTCTCGCTGGTATAGACTTTCTAGCTTCCACCGCTGACCTCTGGGCCTTCCCAGTGATGATCTGTGAAACATACTGGCATAAGTCATTGTTGTGGGCTCTAGGCCTTCAGTAGACTCGTGGGAAGCACTGTCATGGGCTCTAGATCTTCAGCTGGACTCATGCAGGACATTGCTGTGGGATCCAGGCCCTCAGCTAGATTTTCTAGGTCTTTAGTATTGTGAACAGATTTCCTGCACTGTCTTGTATTTAACTCGGGATGACCATCATAAAATAGTATGTATCTAATTGTTCTCCTTTTAACCCCTGACTAGAATCCATGATAAGATCAGGGTTCGTATTAACACCACATTCTGGTTGTGATACTTGCTGTAGCTTTTGCAAAACATTACCAATGGAGGAAAACCGAGCAAAGCGTACAGGAAATCGCTCATGTGAGATCACATAATCATTTAACAAAATTTAATTTGCTATGTAATTCAGATTGCCTTGCACTCCTGGCATCTGCCTTCCTTGGCTTCCCAAGTGCTGGGATTACAGGTACATGTAACAAAGCCCCACTTAATGCTCAGTTTTAAAATTTCCAGGTATAGTTGTCCACCAGGGAAAGGCAGGAGCATCACCCCCCACAGGGAAGTCCCCAGGCCTGACCTGCTCGTCAGTGATGCAAGTCAAGGCCTCTCAATCTTCTGATGCTGGTGGGGTGCAGGCTTTGGGTTCCCATGAACACTTCCTTTAGGTTGGATAACTTTCTGGAATGACCACAGAAGTCAGGAAAACATTACAAGAGAAAATATTCAACTGAGAGACTGAAAGCAGGAGGACCATAAATTTAAAGCCAGCTGAGCAAGATCCTGTCCCACAAGTAAAAGAAAAACAATAAACATGAACAGCTGGGTGAAGTGCACAGGTGCTGAGCATGAATTGGGATACACGGGTCTCCTGGTGTGTGGCTGTGTTCCATCAACCTAGAACTCCGCAGACCAGACTTTCAGGAATCTTTGTTTTGGTGCCAAAGATGGAACCCAGGGCCTCACACATGCTCTACCAGTAAGCTGCATCCCCCGCTTAGGAACTTTTTTAAATTTCCGGTTTCTTTTAAACTGGTACATTTTTTTTTTCTTTTTCCTTTTCATTGGTACCAGGGACCGAACTCATGACTGCCTGCTTGCAAGGCAGGCGCTTATGCTGCTGAGCTAAATCCCCAGCCCCTTAAATTGGTACATGTTAATTACACATATTTACTACGGGCTGCAGTGTGGCACTTCCAGACTTGCGTTATGTGTAATGATCGGATAGGGATCAAGGTCACTGGCAGATCCTTCTCCTCAGACACTCCTCTCATCTTCACGCCAGGACCATTCAAAGTCCTTCCTACCACAGTGACTCAGAGGCTGCCCTGGACAAGTCAGTCTTCCTCCCTCCATCCCGCACCACCAGCCCTGTGATCCTGCCCTTGCCCTCTCCTGTAGGATCGGCTCTATGCCTGCCACAGTTCAGGGATCTTTGTAGCAGCTGCACTCCTGGCAGGACTGGTAATCAGCTGTCTCAACCCCACCTCTCCTCTGACATGGGGCTAGGTGGCCCAGTCTTTGGGTGACCAGCTCACCTGAAGCCATCCAGTGGCCCAGCTGGAGCGGCATTATAAGAACCCAAGATGCACCCATCACTCAGGAAATTCCAAGGGGCTTAGGAGCTTGTGTGTGACACCCGGCTGCTTGGCCATCAGGATCCTGTGTTAGGAACTAGACACAGGTCTCTCCTTGTGCTACCCTCCCGTGGGACACACCCTGCCCCCATGCACCAGGCTTGGGGGCCCACCCTCAACACCACAAACAAATGTACAGTAAAACCTGGGCAGAAGATACGCATGTTTCCAAAGTTATTCTCCTAGAGCTGTGGGTGTAAAGACTTTCATTTTTCAAACACTACTTTTAGGGCCTGGCATGGTGGTGCACGCCTGTAATCCCAGCACTCAAGAGGCTGACGTGGGAGGACTGCCATCAGTTCAAGGCAGACTAGGCTACCTAGCAAACTCAAGATCAGCCTGAACTACATAGCGAAATCCTGCCTCAAAAAGCCCCAACAGGACAACCTACTCGGGACCCTTCTGTCTCTCTCTCAGACAGAAGCTTTCTTTCTTCAATAAATATTTTTGCTCTTAAAAAAAAAAAAGCCCCAACAAAGGCCTGGGGTTTAGCTCAGTGGTGTAAGTGCCTGCCTGGCAAGCTGGAGGTCATGAGTCTGACCCCAGGTACAAAAACAAACAAACAAAACCCCCAATAAATAAAAACTACTTGTGGGCTGGACTAACAGCAAGTAGCATTCCTAGAACGATTAGGACCAGTGTGATAACTAGATAGGACTGCATAACTAGATAGATTTTAATTCCAGATAAACAATACATGATTATTTTTAGTATATGCCTGTCCCAATGCAATCTGACTATCTGCAAAATCTGGAATCCTAGTTATGACCCTAAACTTCAGCACTGTTCCCACCAACACTGCCACAAGCCAGTGTCCCTGCTGGGAATCACACTGTCCACCATGCAGCTTGCTTTTCCCCTGAAGCTAATGACCACCAAAATCAGAGAACTGAATTGGGTGTGGGAATGCTAGTCAAACATACAGTTGTGTCACCCTTGTCCCAGCATTCCTGCCATTCCACACCTCAAGGGGCTACATCCAGAACTTTCTCCTGGAGCCATGGCATGGGTGTGAGACCTCATGTGACTCCAGCTTTGCTGTGGGGTGGTGTGACCACAGTGAATCCCTCCCCACCACCATAGGGTGCTGGGAGGCAGGTGAGTACAGCCCTCTCAGCATGCACAGCAGCCCCACCCTGCTGACCCACCTGGGCTGTTTGGGGTCCCCACTTCGACTGCCATGGGCCACAGCTTCCTGTGCAGGTGCCCAGTGTTCATCTATCTGGACTGAGGATCAGAGGGCAGGCTGGGCCCCAAGGCCCCCAGCAGAAGGAATCCAAGGGGCTCCACCTGCCATTGCCCCTTTTGGGGGTGAACTGAGGGACAGTCACCTCCAGGTGCCAGGACCCAAGTACAGAAAGGTCCCAGCCATCCCAGGGACCAGTAGTCACCAGTCAGGGATCTGAGTGGCCTCAACATGTGACACCATCAGCCCCAATCCCTGCAGGGAGCCCCTGAAACTGGAGATTGACACATGTGTGGGGCTAAAGCAAGGCCAGCCCTGAGAACACAAGAGCCCAAAGCAAGCCAGGTGAACGAGCTGTTCCAGCTCCAGGAAGGAAAGGGGCCCAGGCCAGCCAGGCAAATAAGTTGCTAGGCAGAGAGGTGAACTTGACATCCTCCTCCTAAGTGTAAATACACATGCTACAGTGGCTGAATAGTTCCTTCTCTCCCATCAGGGGAGAGGGCTCCACCTCCCCTTAGCTTTGTCTCTTCTTTATTTTCTCACCCTCTAGTGGTCCTTCCCCCAAGGAACCTAGAGAGCCTTCAAACTCCCCAGCTGGGCTGGTAACTCTAGTTCACAGAAGAAACTGTCTAAAGTCAGGTCAGCTTCAAGAGTGCTGCAAGTCAAGCCAACCCCTTGGTGAAGAGGGCAGGGTGCCCCGAGTGCTTTGTTCCTGTGTTAACCAAGCAGCCCTCACAGTCCTGGCATGGACCTCACTCACCGAGGGTCAGCTGAGTGTCACAGCTATCAGAAAGGCCAAAGGGGCAGTCCTCATCTGTGCTGTGTGCTGGCTACATGAAGAGCAGCATGGCCTCTCTATGAGTAAGTCACAAGGTTACCTTGCACACAAAAGGTGGACTGCCGGCTGCAGGTGTAGGAACCCCATCCACCTGCCTTCGAGTCCCTCTCTTGTTCTCACACTGGCTTTCCATAGTCCCCACCCCCCAATCCTGCAAACATCAGTGGCCTGAGGAGGCGAGCTGGGGCGAGGTGAAGAAAGTGGGGTGCTTTCTGCATAGGTTGGTGAGATGGTGCCTCCCCAAAGCAGTGCCACAGGGCCAAGGATCTGGAGAGGACATGCGAGAGGCCGATGGACATAGGGGGGAAGCAGGCAGCCAACGCAGAGGCCCAAAGGCGGGTATCAACGGGGACAGCATGATCACAGGGCCCAACGCAGAGGCCTGTCCCATCCCTAGAGCTCAAGCTTGGATCCGGAGGAAACCAGCCCCGCCGGCAAAGGCCGGTCTTTCTGCGAGGGGCCAGACAGCGCCGCCCTGGACTTAGCCCATTAGCCCAGCCCGGATCACTGCGGGAGGGACCAGAGTGCTTCTCGCCGCTCCCACAGCCCCAAGACACACCCCTAATTTTATTTAAATGTAGAAACCAGGGTCGTACGGAAGTAGGCAGGAGGCTGGTTCCGGACCTGAAACGGTCATCCCGGGCCTCGCGAGTCTGCGGCCACCAAGCTGGGGACTGCAAACGTGGTCAGCCCCGCGTGGTTTCCGCATAAACGAGGGGCAGTCCCCAACGAGCGCGGCACGGACACCCGGCTCCGCTCCGCATTCCGGGCGCAGGCCGCCGGCCCACAGCCCCGCCCGCCCGCTGGCTCACTCAGCGCCGCTGCCAGCCCGGAAGCCCTGCTGCGGCCGCTGGGCGGGGGCCGGGCCGCCTCAACGGCCGAGCCCCTTAAAGAAACCGCGGGAGCCGCACCCACTTCACACGCGCGTCCAGTCCTGCTCGCCGTGGGCGGCACTGCGCCTGCGTGGTTCTACAGACCCCCCCCCGCGGGGGCGGGGCGGCACTGCGCCTGCGTGCCCCGCTCGGCCCGCCCCGTCAGCCGCGCCTCGGTCCCTGAAGCCACGGGCCGGGCCCGGGCCGGCCGGGCGGGGAGCCGTGCACGAGGACTGCGCCTGCGCGCGCTCGTCCGGGCCCCGCCCCCGCGCCGCGCGGGGCCCTGGGAGGGGCGCAGCGTCCGGCGGCGTCGCGGGCGGCGGGGCCGTGGCGGCGGGAGGGGCGGCGGGGGCAGACAAAGCGGCTAATGAATGGGCGCGCCCGCCGCGACGTGCGCCGTGGAGCCCCGGGCCGCGCCGCGCCGAGTCGGCGCCGAAGGTGAGTGCTCGCGACGCCCCCGCCCCTCGCGCCCGCCGCCGGTGCGCGCCGCGCGGGCAGGGCCGCGCCATTGTCCGCGGCCCGGGCCTCCCGCCCGCCGCCCCGCCCCGCTTCGGCCCGCCCCGCCCCGCCCGGCCCTACCCGGTCCGGCCCTGCGCTGACAGCTGCCGCGCGGCCGCCGGCCCCGGCCCGACCCGCTGCCCGGCCCTCCACCCACAGCCGGTCCATTGTCCCTCCGGTGCCCGCGCCGGCCGCGTTCTGGGCGTGAAAAGGGAAGTCGCGGCCGCCGAAGTTGGCGCTGATCAGATTAAGTCATGGCCCGCGGAAATCCACTTAGGGCTCCAACGGAGGACGGGCAAGGGCAGCCCTGCCCCTGGGTACAAAGAAGCGCGAGCGGCCCGTGCGCTCTCAGTGTCATCGTGGGGACGCGCTCCGGAGACCCGGAAGGGTCCGCTGGGCTTTCTAAACAGTGCAGTGAATATGCCGAGCCTCGGCCCCGAGTTTACTCCAATTCCCGATCGTGGTCGTGGAGCTTCCCGGTGGTAGGCGCTTCCAGTGGGCCATCCAGAGAACTCGCTTCCTGAGTTCTCCGACAGATGGGATCTGCTCCCCGGGGCCTGCTTTTTCTCAGGAGAAGCTGTAGAGCACGTTAAGAGAGCGCTGTGAAGCCGCAGGAAGTTTCAGCATCCCTGTCTTTAACCGGAGGAAGCAGTTAATCTACACGGAAAGAGAGCTTTAAGACTCTTGGGCTTTGACAGGTGGCTGTGGTAGCGCCCAGCCCTCCCACCCACACTTCCACTTTATTCCTGAATGTGGTGGTTGATGTTTTTGGATGTGAAAGATTTGCTTTGATGTACGTGCACGCTTGCAGGTTCCCTCACACCCTGAAGAAAGGTTTTAGGTCAGTTCTGTATAGGTGGGAGGGAGCTGGCACGAAGCATCTACAAGGAGATTGTGGGTGGGAGGGGTTTGCAATGGGAGGAGGGCTCTGGCCTTGTGAGGGCGCTGTCCCGTAGTTCCTCTGCCTGGAGGTAGTAGTGGTGCTGGGAAGGGAGGGAGCGGGTGAGGGACTGCTGGGCTCAGGCTGACTCCTTCCCACCAAGTTTCCTTGAGAACATCTGCAGGGACAGCTCAGGGCCTGTGACTGTCACCCTCTGACTGCAGGCCCAAGGAAGCTGTGCAGATTTTGCTCCTGCAGCCCTTTTGTGTTTCCCTTGTCACAGTGTGCTCTTAGCTGTGACCTTCCTTGAGTAGTTGAGCTCTGGTTTGGGGGTACAGAGGAGCTCACCCCTCTCCTCAGGGCATTGCCCTATCTGCATCCTGATCCTCCAAGCCCTCCCTGCCCCATTTTGCAGTGCCTAAGTTTTCTCTTATTAAGTATTTGATATGTGCTTTTGGTAGTTCAATATCTGAAAAGCATTGCTAGGAGTAAAATAAACTTTCCTACCTCTGAGACTGAGAAAACCCAGAGAACCAAAGGAGCTTCCCTCTGTCTGCGATGTGCTCATCCCTGTCCCCTATATCTGACACTGTTCTGCCTGCTGTCACAGCAGAAGGCTTGCTCTTGGAGAGCGTGGTAGTTGCAGTGGGGATTGACATAAAACAGAAAAAGGCCAAACAACCAGGCACGCTGGAGTCCTAGCTACTAGGGAGGTGCAGGCAGGAGGATTGCAAGTTTAAGGCCAGCCTAAGCAACTTAGCAAGACCCTGTCTCAAACAAACAAACCAGGGGCCTGGAGATTTAGCTCAGCGGCATAAGCACCTGCTTTGCAAGCAGGCAGTCGTGAGTTTGATCCCTGATACCAATAAAAATGAAAAAGACAAAAAAAAAAAAAAAAGGCTCAATAAGTGCTCTGTGGAAAAAATCCCAGCAGGTACAAGTCGAGGAGATGCTCAGTTTCTGCCTGGGAATTACTCTGGAAGACCTCTGGGAAGGAGGGACATTTGAGTCCAGCCCTCAGAGGCCAAGGGCTTTGTGGGAATCATAAGTGTGACACAGCCAGGGCCAGGGCCAAACATTCTGCTGCAGCCCAGAAATATTATTGAAGATCCAGTCAGCACAAATCCCGAGTGGTTGGGGCTGAGGATGCCAGGCCTGGTGCCCAGCAAGGTATGAATTCTACCTGCAGCTGTTAGGACTGGCCTGTCATTGTGACTGCTGCAACAACCTGCCCTGCTCCTGGGCAGATGGTCCTGGTTCACTCTGGCCTTCAGCCTCCCCACCTCTGCAGACTTAGCCAGCAGGGCACAGGCTTCATCCGGAGCCATGTGGTCACTACTTGCACTCACCCATGATTGCTGCTGCACTTACCTGCTGGAGAGAGAGCAGGGTGGGGGCCGGTGGGGCTTGCAGAGATAGATCTCTGCTTGAGTCACAGAAGCCGCCGTCCACATCCTGTGAGTAAAAGGACATTTAAAGATTTCCTGTAGCTTTCAGCTGCAGATATGACTTGAGGCTTGACATTGGAAGGACAGCCTAGACCCTAGAGGAAAGGGTGATGAGCGTACTGGGCGTACTGGTGTCAGGTCGGAGGACCCACAGAAAGCCACGCGGTGGTTTGTGTCCTAGAGCGTGTCATGGGCCTTACAGTGACCTTACTGAGGTCTGTTTGCTTGCTATGGAATGCGCTTTGTTTCCAGGGTATCCTTATCAGGGTTTCTGAGCACATCGCTAGCTTGAACTCTGGTTCTGGGTTTGTGCAGTTTAACCTTCCCTGCTGTCCCTGGTTCCGTCTCATGTTGGCCTGGCCCCGGTTCTTGGTTTTCTCTGTCTGGGCACCACAGCTCTATAGCATTGCTGGCTTTGAGGCACCCGATGTGGCTGCTGCCCCTGAAACACCTTAGGCAATGTCCTGCAGCCCGTGAGTAGGGCAAGGTCGCCCTCGTGTTTAGACTCACAGCCTTGGGAGGAGAGACCTCCCTCGTCCTGGGGAACCAGGTCCCTGAGGGCAGACACACTGCCAGTCCTGTGAAGTTTCTGATGTAGAGACTTCTGGGACACATGTGCATGCCTATGCATGTGCACGTGTGAGCATGTGCGTGCATACACTCTCTCTGTCTCTCTCTCTCCCAGACTGTCTGCAGGAGGTGCTTGGAAACCTTTGGAATTGTAGTTCCAGGATACTTCATGTCTGAGTGTCTTCTCCCACTAAGCGAGAGGAAGGAACACTCGCTACCCCAGCCTGCCCCCAGAAGGTTCATGAAGCCTGAGGGGGAGCCTGGTGCCTTCCAGAGCCCTGGAGCCGGCACTCCCCCGGCTCCTGCATGTCTTCACCTGCTGTCCCAGGCCAGCAGGTGTTGTGTCTTTGCCCACGTGCAGCAGGAGGCTGAGTGGATCTGCGTGGTGTGTTTGGTGCACTGTCGATGACACTGTGTTCCAGGGCTGTCCCGCCAGCATCGCAGCCTCTGTGCTACCTGTAGGCGGTGAGCTGGGGCCGTGACCTTGTCCTGCACTGTGGGCTTTCCTGTGCTGCTGCCTTTCTGCCTTCACCTTGCTTGTCTCAGAAGACAGGACAGAGGCTTCTTCCCTCGACCAGTTTGAGAGGTTGCGTCTGGTGTGATGGGTGTTTCCATTTCTCCTTTTCCTTTGAAAACCAAGGCAGACTCAGGGTTTCTACTCCGCTGTCTTAGAACCAGTGGAAAGTCGTTGCTTTGTTGTGTGTGATACACTCGAATTGGTACAGGTGGGACCAGTCAGGAGCCCCTGCAGCCTGCTCCTGTGTCCTTCATCCCTTGCAATACTGGGTTGTGACCTGGCACCCGGCTCACCTTGGCTTTTATTTATTTATTTTTGGTACAGGGATCGAACTCACAACCTCGCGCTTGCAAGGCAAGCACTTACACCACTGAGCTAAATCCTGGGCCCCTCATCTTGCCTTTCTTTCTAAGATCTACAGCAGCTGTTTCTCCAGCACTTTAGTTCTTTGTAATGAAGGCAGTCTCTGCTGTGTTTGCATGCTGCTGTTGCTGCTTTTTTCACCATGGTGGGGATCAAAGTGGGAGGACTCTGCGTGAGCCAGGCCTGTGTGCTGTCCCTGGGCTGCCCCTGCAGTGCGCGTCTGTGTCACTGCTGAGTGCTCCGTAGGTGAGTGAAGATATCAAGAGTTGGGTCAAGGGTGTTGCTCAGCAGTAACGTCCCTGCCTGCCCTGTGCGGGTGTCTAGGTGCTGGTATTCTGGTATTTTGAATATGAATTTAAAATTACATGGTTTTATTTCTTTCATTATTCTCTAAATAATACAGTGTAACAACTGTTTACAAAGCATTTATGTTGTACCTGATATTATAATTGATCTAGAGGTGATCTGAGGTTCTATGCAGCTATTTTACTGTCTCACAGTACTGCAGAACCACTGAATCATTGACATAATTCTTTGCCTTATGCTAAAATTCATATAAAATTGATTGTAAAGTTGATTGGTTATTTTGGTTTTTTTCCTGGACAGAGTCTTATGTCACTCAGCTAAGACTCAGGACCCTTGAGCACTAGGGCTATAGGTGTGTGCCATCGTGCGTAACTGAAGTTTGTGTTTTAAAATTCCTTTGTCCTTGTATATATCCCACTTGGGGTGAAGAAAGTACCATTTTAAAGTCCTTGGACAGATATTCTTCTCTCCGGTTATGTTGCCCATTTGATACACATTTAGGTTGGTTTTCAGAATTGGATGTTTTTTCTTTGAGACCAGGTCTCGCTATGTCATTCAGGTCAGCCTTAGAGCCTAGGTTGCCTTGAACGCACGGTGATCCTTCTGCCTCAGCTTCCTGGGTGCTGGGGTTACAGGTGTGTGCCACCACGCCCAGCTGATACTTGGAATTTAAATTTTTTCTTCTATTAAATAACTATATAGTTTGAAAGTCAAACTGTATTAAAAATATCTGCCCTAACGCCTCCAGTCTTAATGCAGCCATTGTCACCTCTGTTTCCCCCTGCAGAACTCAGAGCACACTGCCCCGCCCGCTGCTCTCCCTGTTTTCCAGTGAAGCAGGCAGGAGCAGTGGGCT